AGTTGAAATACCTGGGAAACACACACATAGCGCACACGCATACACAAACACACAGACACACACGCACATCATGTTCGTCACAATATGCGTTTAACATTTGCATATTTGCAAAAACGCGTAAAAATGAAAATTTCTTGAAGTTTTAAGAAGCTATCATAGCAAATGTCAGCAATCTTTGAGATTTAGCATTACCAAAATTCATTAAGAAAGAATGAAAGCAAAAATAGTTTTTTGGAAATTTCAGATTCTAATCTCTCATTTCACAAATGCCACATTTTACAGAAAACTAAGGGCTGTTTGCATTTTTAGCTTGTTATTTGGCAATTAATGAAATAATTGTTTGGAAATGTTACATAAAGAGCAGCAATAGCAAGTATGTTTCTGTTAAAACAGCTTCTCACAGCTCTTTTCACCTGGTTCACAACCAATCTTATGCCTCCCCGTTCCCCAGTCAAAAGTCTCTCGTTCGGATAATCCGTAACGAGAAATCTTTGTTCATCAAACTCACAGTTATCTTTTGCCATCCCTTTCTTTCATCCCTCATCAACGTCTTGGATGAACGACAAATTAGGCTCCATATCTTTTTATTCATCAGGTTCACAGTCCAGTCCTACCCAATTTTCTCCTTATTTTCACCACGTTCAATTTCCCAGATGTTTCACAGCAGCACACTCTTCACGCCTTTGTACACTTCACAATATGGCATATGGTATTATAAATGTTCTGTGTCTTAGGTGGACTGATGAAAATGTGGTACCCGCTGGTACTGGCGGCATTAATTGTTATTGCAAGCGCTAATGAGAGGACCAAACGAGGTTACATATTTAACGACTTTTAAAAATTAGATAATTTACACTTATCATGGCTTTCACTTTCACATTTTAGGCCTTTGCCTTAAGCTAATACATTCAGGTTTCCATTTGCTGCCTCTGCACCGCGAAGAAGTCCTTAGCTTCTTTCCTCTGGACAAGCAATGCATATATGTGGTGATTTTTCAACCCGAGATTGCACTCGGAGGGCTGACAATTGTTGGAGTCTCACTGAACTTATCGCAGCCATTTGCGAAAACAGAAGAGTGAACAAT